TACAGGGTAGAGATGCTCAAAACAAGAAAAGTTTATACGAAAAAGTGGCTTTCGAAGATACATGTAGTGTAATCCGAAGAAACTGTTGAGTTGGCTAATTTTATTTACATTGCTGACTTTGCAGAGTTTACGAGATGACTTCAAGTCCAACGAAGAAGAGATGGTTGCAGTTCTTGATCTCCTAAACCACTGCTGCAAGATAAGAGAGAACAGGCGGGCTTTGCTCAGGCTAGGAGCTTTAAGCTTACTTCTGGAAACAGCTAGGAGGGCATTTTCTGTGGATGCTATGGAGCCAGCTGAAGGAATTCTCTTAATTGTGGAGAGTTTGACTCTTGAAGCAAACGAAAGTGACAGCATCAGCGCTGCACAAAGTGCATTGACTGTCAGTAGCGAGGAAACTGGAACTTGGGAACAGGCCAAGAAAATAGTGCTTATGTTCTTAGAAAGGCTAAGCCATCCTTCGGGGCTTAAGAAGTCAAACAAACAGCAAAGAAACACGGAGATGGTTGCTAGAATCTTGCCTTACTTAACATACGGTGAGCCAGCAGCGATGGAAGCACTCATAGAGCATTTCAACCCCTATCTGCAAAACTGGGCAGAATTTGATCAACTTGAGCAACGTCATGAGGAGAATCCCAAGGACGAGGGAGTTACTCAGGAAGCGGTGAAGCAGAGATTTACTATTGAGAATTTTGTAAGAGTGTCAGAATCTCTCAAGACAAGTTCATGTGGAGAGAGGTTAAAAGACATTGTTTTGGAGAAAGGCATCATAGCTGCTGCTGTCAAACACATTCAAGAAATATTCTCTGTCACAAGACAGGCTGGATACAAATCTAGCCCAGAATGGCTTGCAGCTCTTAAACTCCCTTCGGTCCCTCTTATTTTGTCAATGCTAAGAGGATTGTCGATGGGACATTTGCCAACCCAGACATGCATAGACGAGGGAGGGATTCTACCCTTACTTCATGCCTTAGAAGGAGTCGCTGGAGAAAACGAGATTGGTGCAAGAGCTGAGAATTTGTTAGACACTCTCGCTGATAAAGAAGGAAAAGGAGATGGATTTCTTGGAGAGAAAGTTCGTGCATTACGAGATGCTACCAAAAGTGAGATGAGACGCCGTGCACTAAAAAAGAGACAGGAACTCCTTAAGGTAAATTTCTCTAGCAAAGATTGTAGAGTGTTAATCTGGTCTTGTGACAATGTTAACCTAGTTTCTCATTTGTAAACAGGGCCTTGGAATGCATCAAGAGGTATCTTCTGATGGTGGTGAAAGGATTGTGGTTTCACAACCAATTCTCGAAGGTTTTGAGGATGTAGAGGAAGAAGGTGATGGTTTAGCTTGCATGGTGTGCAGAGAAGGCTACAAACTCAGACCTACTGATTTATTAGGAGTATACTCTTACAGCAAACGGGTGAATCTTGGTGTTGGCACTTCCGGAAGTGCACGTGGAGAATGCGTTTATACCACCGTGAGTTACTTCAACATCATTCATTTCCAGTGTCATCAAGAGGCGAAAAGAGCGGATGCTGCTCTTAAAAACCCGAAGAAAGAATGGGAAGGAGCTATGTTACGTAACAATGAGTCTCTCTGTAACTCTCTCTTCCCTGTCAAAGGTCCCTTAGTTCCTTTAGCTCAGTACCTACGCTACGTTGACCAGTACTGGGATAATCTCAATGCTCTTGGTCGTGCCGACGGAAGCAGACTCCGCCTATTGACATATGACATAGTTCTGGTAAGTTAAAAAAAAAAACTTAAAACATCCCTTTTGTTCGTCACTGTGTGATTTGCTAACAATTTGTTTTTCCTCGCTTAGATGTTGGCCCGGTTTGCAACGGGAGCTTCTTTTAGCGCGGATTGCAGAGGTGGAGGAAGAGATAGCAATTCCCGTTTCTTGCCTTTCATGTTCCAAATGGCACGTCATCTTCTCGACCAAGGAGGCCCCACGCAACGCACCAACATGGCTAAATCCGTTTCATCATACATATCATCATCGACATCTGCAACAACAGCGCCGTCATCGGACTCGCGACCTCTAACTCCTGGATCTCAGCTATCATCAACTGGAGCAGAAGAAACCGTTCAGTTCATGATGGTCAACTCGCTTCTATCAGAATCGTATGAATCATGGCTCCAACACCGTCGTGTCTTCCTCCAGCGCGGGATCTACCATACTTTCATGCAACACGCTCACGGTCGGGCAGCATCTCGTGCTACGGAACCATCCAGTTCAGGTGGCAACAAAACCCAAGACGCAGAAACGTTGACAGGCGATGAGCTTCTCTCCATAGTCAAGCCAATGCTGGTCTACACGGGTATGATAGAACAGCTTCAACAGTTCTTTAAACCAAAGAAACCGGCCCAGGTCGAACCAATCAAGAAAGAAGGTACGTCAAGTGGGGTAGAGCTGGAACCGTGGGAGACTGTAATGAAAGAGAAGTTACTGAATGTGAAAGATATGGTTGGTTTCTCAAAAGAATTGATCTCATGGCTCGACGACATCAACTCTGCGACTGATCTACAAGAAGCTTTTGATATTGTCGGCGTTCTGGCTGATGTTTTGTCTGGAGGAGTTACTCAATGTGATGAGTTTGTGAGATCAGCGATTGATGCTGGAAATGGGAAAGGCTGAAGAAAAGTTTGGTTTTGTAGAGAAAGACGAAGAGAGCTCTAATATGTGAGTTTTCTATTTGGTTATGTGTGTCTCTCTTGTTTCTAATACTGTGTGTGATTGGTTTGTTGTACTGTAGTGAATTTTCCTTGTAAAACATCGAGACACTCGTTTTCTTCTGCTACGAATGCAAAACTCACACGTATTGCGCTCTTTGTTCACAGCCATAAGAAGAAGAAAAATAATTGGTTTAACTCTCACTAGACTTCACTAGAAAAATATCATTCATCAGTCTGTCAACCATGCTTATGCTAAATTTAATTGAATGTAATCTCACATAAATTTAAAGCATGTCTTCACTATGACAAATCACAAATCTTCTTGTCTGCAAAAAAAGTTTAGTATATTTCAAGTTCTGAAGATAGAGTTGAATCAATACTATGTAGGTGTCATTTGATCACTTACATGATTTTTTTGTGTGTCTCAACAAACGATCATATACAAACACTACTACCATCTCCGAGAACTAACATACTCAAGGTGTTCGTATTACTCAAGAGTTGTTACTCAATTTAATTGTCTCTCTGTTATGATTTTATTATTTCTCTCATTAACTATTTTCATAGATTAATTTTGGTTCTTTTGGATAAAAATAGATAAATCAAATTAATTTGAAGAAAGTAGTTATGATCGTCAACATGTAGCAACATCAGTTTATAGTAATCGATCTGATTTGTTTACTCAGTTTAATTTAAAGATGACAAATCGATTGAAATTGAATTATAATTAGTAACTCAAGCCGACTGAAATTGAATTTCAATTAGTAACTCAATGGTTAAGGCGAAAATGTCCATGTTGTATATATTTATTTCTATGATATGAATCATGTTAAAACTTTGAAGTCTTGTCATTCATGTCTTTGTCAAGTTACATTATATTCTTAGTTTTACCCATTGACGAGAATGTAGTCATGGATCGAAGATGAATCAACTTTGTTATCTAACTTAATGACAACTCTTATGATAGTTTGCATGATCTAAAATAGAGTAAACATAAGTTACCGTGTACTAAATTGATGATCTAGGGGATGATAGTTGTTTTCTCTAGATCTCTAAATAAAGCTTATCATTAAAATGATGCAGATTCCAACTAAATTCAATTATGTTAATGATTAAAGATAGTTTATAAGAGTCTGACTATGTTTATTTTTTTTAAATGAAGATTTAAACTTAAATAACCAAAAATGGTAAGATTTGTCAATTATTGATAGCACCAACAGAAAATGTTTTGGTGTTTCCTTCACTTCAATGGTCACAGTCCCCAACCTAACTAGAATAAACATGTGTTTCAGTGGATATAAGGTTTAAAGGCATAAAACCTAAATACATGTTTTGATAAATCTTTTTTTGTATGAGCTTTGTGTACTCATCTTCCCTAGACTTCATCCCAAACAAATCTCTGTCTTCAAAAAGCTTCACGATATCTTCATATTGTTCAGCTATGAAGAAGCCTTGGATGAGTGGTTGATATGTCACATGACTAAGCTTCTCATGTTTTGTTTAGCTTCTGCAAGAATCTTTTGAGCTTGGTTCGTAAACGCTTAATTAGCATAACTGCTAATAACCATGGTGTATGTATCCATGTCTGATACTAGAAAATTTTGAGAAAATACGATAAATTTTAAGCAAAGAAAGGTTATACCACATTGGGATGAATGATAGATGGAGTGGATAGGCGCTCAAGAATGCTCCTAGCAATCTGGCGGTTCAATTCAATTTTACGGTTCTTCTCATCCTCTTTTTTTGCTACTTGCTTATGGACCCTTCTCGTTTCAACAAATTTACTTCATGCGGTCGACACGACAATGAAGCAAGAGTTTTTTGTTTGAAATTATGTACAAAGTTTGCCCTGCATAATCTTCTTGGTTTCTATTATTGTTTTTGTTATTTTTTATATGATTTATTATTTTTTTTGTAACACAAATTCATTAATAAACTTCAAACATCCAACTGGTTCAATACAGAATTTATTCATATCAGATTTTTCATAATAGTATTGTTATGTGGCCATTGATTGCTATTATTTTATCTTCATCATCATCTCATATTGTCTAGAAAGACACGCATAATGTGTGATGTATTTATTGATAGACTGAAATTATGCTCTCACTTGGTGAAGATAGAATTATGTATTTTACAAAACACATTGTTCATTCTACAAAACGAATGTTGCAGTTTCTAATAGTCATAACATTTTGTTTGAAGCAAAACGAAAAAGAAAAAAAACTAACAGAACATTATATTTTAAACTATATTTTACAGATAGCCCTGATTAACATTGTCGTCTCACATAATGAACTTCTGATTAAGTTTCTTAACTACTTAATGACCATCAATTATGGATTGGGCTCCTTTTCCTTCCTTTCATACGTGAAGAATAGTCGCCTCTCATTAGATTATCGATCTCTTTTGCTGAATCTCTTGAGGCTAAACCTTTTGTTGATCTTTTCTTTGTTCCATAATTTAGATGTTTAAAACTTTTTAACTGCCACATATACAACAAAAATATATAGGGTTATATATATAAGAAAAAAATGCAAATGCGTCTATGTTTCTACAATTAACAATCAGATATAACTAATTCTAGTACCAAAGTATTCAATCTGTAGCTATTGATTTAATGTGTACCTTTCGTCCAGCCAAGAGAGGTTCACTTCCGCTCACCATAAGACCATAATCTTCAATATATTTGGATCCACGTATATTTATGTTTCCTGTGTAAGTTCTCCAAGACAACATCAGCATCACATGTTTAATTTACACCTTCATACGTTTGAGTATATCGAGAAGACAAAACACATGTATGATGTATGCAGACAAACACACATAAATAGATGATCACCATCGTCATAAGGAACAACGCACAAATATATATATATATATCAAAGGACCTAAATATATATATGTAGACACACATGAGGATGATCTAATAAGAAGAGAAAACTAAGAGTACAGACCTTGAAGCGCATGAGGAAGATTCATCACCATCATCATCATGAGGAGGAGAAGCCCTACAACGAGTGTGGTTAACTTTGCGTTTGTGTTCTTCATGTCGTTTGCCTTTGCCAATATAATTAAGGAAGCTATTATGATCTTAGTTGATGTGAGTGAAGCTCATTTTATATGTAAAGGGTTGTCTGTACTTATGTTTAGAATTTCCTAAAACCGGAAAAGTGGAAGGTAGCTAGGGTTTCCCGACAATTCCATAGGCAAGACAAAAAGGAACTTCTCATCGGTAATTGTTAATGCTAGTGACAAATAAAATAAAATCTCCCAGCAGTAACATTTGAAAGATTAATAAGTCAAACAAATTTAAAAAATTAACACAGTAAATAACAAAAACTCAAATATTGTTTGCCAATCTCTATACAAATAAGCTGGTTTCGCAATACTTTAGTAACTGAGTATTGTCTCACACCTATAGCGCAAACGATCAGAACAATTAGATGATATCGTTTCATTCAGATATGATATTCAATTGATGTATTAAACTTTTGTTATGAAAATAACTTAAAATAAGAATTCGAACGAAATATATTGTTAAGTTTATATAAATGTAGATGGAACATCCCCTATTTCCAAATGGGAAATCAAGAAAGTCGGTACCGACATGGAGTATAAATTAACAAAGGTTTTTCTTGAAGAAATCAAGAGGGGGCATGGCATGGGGAAGTTTCCATGAGTTTAAGTGCCTAACATTTGCTTATTGCTTAGGGTTTCTAAATAAAGTATCTCCTTTTGGAGTTCCAAAATTCTTTTTTTTAGCCATGGATTTGCTAAAAATGCTTTGTTTGTACTAATATTTAACTAATTCTGACAATAAAAAGTATACTACATGTTAGTATCTTAATCTTTACAAAGAATTTGATATTCCTTTTGAGACACGAGGGGCGGGTCTTTCGATTCAATTCTTGTGACTTTGTCGTGGGTGTGTATGCCACATTAATAGTAAGAAGAAGAAAAGAAGAAAAAACATGTTATTTTTTTGGGAAATGGAAGATTGGTATAAAAAAAGGGATAATCATTCGATGGAAAATCCAATATCTGGGCTTATGGTGGCTAGTGGAAGCATTCAAATGATTATGAGGCCCATTATAATAGGCACGTTTTTTAGTCATGTTGATGAACTTGCTAAACGCATCGAGACACTGCTCTTAATATAACTGGGCTCAACTAAAATCAAACATAATTTAAGCCTTGGTTTGTATCTATTTCATTTTCAAACTCTCTTGTCCAGTTTTTAAACCAAACTAACGTGTCAACAAACCAGGAAGCAAACATAACACAAAGACTAACAGCAAAGACTTACGTAAAATATATGTTTTTATTATTAAAACAAAGACAAAAAGCTCAGAGGATAGATTGTCTCGGATCTTATATAGAACTACACCATCACTATTTTAATAAACTCTGGCGATTTAACTGAAGAATCGCCTGAAAATGAGATATAACAAAACACGGAAGGTAAAGAAGATAGATGATATAGGTTGAGCTAATAACCAAAACTGCGGTGGTGGTTTTTTGTTTTTTTTGCTGCTCAAGCTTTGGTGGCTGGGTTAAGCTCATCCCAAGCTTCAATCCAAGTGACCATAGCATCAGCAAGCTTGTCAAAGTAAGGATCAATGGGGCTAAGCTTCTCCTTCACCATCTTGGACAGCTCCAAGTAGCATTGTTGAACCGTCACAGCTTCTTTCGAGAGCTTTGCGCTCTGGAAGAAAGGAATGATATCCTCCTGCCAGAAAATTCCTTTGTACTCTTTCTTCAGGTTCACAAATGGGTTGCTTGCCTTGCTGTGGTAAATGTAGGGAAGACCTGTCTTCACTCCCAATCCCAAATGGTCACAGATCACCTAAAAACAGAGCCATAAGAAACTAGTAAGTATTCAAACATTGTCCCAAAAATATATAGAAGAATGGAGAAGTAAGTACCTTGACACACCATCCAGCCCACATATCGTCGTAACGACCAATAGGCTGACCATCACCCATGAGACCAAAGTACATAGCCGGACCAATGAGATCACGGTCAAAGGCCAAGTTCATGCCACACATTGGGAAAAGTGTTCCTTTTGGGATGGTCATGACAGCATCCACATACCTTGTGTTCCTTTCCTTAGGCTTGACGAGTTGGGTTGGAGCATCGTAATCAGGGATGTTGAGCCAGAGACCGTGGGACACAGCAGTGGAAACACCCTCACGTAGACTGAAAGGGTATCCACGGACGAAGTCAGCACCTTCACGGTAGGGATCGTACAATGTGTTGAAGAAAAACGGAGAGGATGGGCAGAGAAGGTTCTTGATGTGTTGCTCAAGTGCGTTCACTGCTTTTCCAGATGGATCCTTGGCAACCTAATTAACACATGACAACAAAACAAAATAATAAATATAAAAAAATTAAGAAAAGATTATTCAAATGCAGCTAAAGCTAATTAAAAAACCCATGTGGAAGAAGGAACAACACGTCACACGTGATCAAACCAACATATTATGACAGCAACATCAACGCTAACACTCATGGCGTAACTGAAAAAAAATCAATTCTCGGACAAACCCCCCCACACTTCCTTTAAAGTGTTTCAGGACAATGACATGCAAGAATCTTGTGAACTTAAAACTGTTACGACACTAAATAGATTGGTCTGACAACAATGGCATCACTAGAATCACTAAAACATAAGAGATCATGATCACTGAGTTACTTAGACTATACAATTGGATATGAATGTATAGATCTATGTCAAAATTCAACAATTTTCGAATTCAAAATTCAAAATTTTAAGATCTGTTAAATGTACCGACACTGTAACCAGATCTCGCTCAGACACAAAGCAATCCTTAAGACATAACCTCAAAGCTAAACAGATCTATAGATTCAGACAAAACAGAACGTCCCAAAAAAAAATAAAAAATCAAACTTTGAGAATTTCAAGGAAACTTACGAAGCAATCATCGTCAATAGTGAAGATATACTTCTTCTTAGACACCATGTAACCGAAGCAGCGACAAGCAGAGTCCTTGAAGGAAATGCAGGAAGCTTTAGGACCAAGGATACGGTTAATGTCGTTCCTGTTGTAGAGCTCATAATCGAACCCTTCGGGAACAGCAATTGTCTTCGAAGGATCTCCATCCTGGACGATGATGAGATGGTAAGGCTGGAGAAAGGGTCTCCACATCTCGAGGAAATCGAGGTTACGGATCGTAGGGATCACGATGTCGAGCTCATCTTTCAGCAAGGCTCTGTGGTTCAATGGGATTCCAACGGTATTCGCCGGTTCAACCATGATTTGAGAATTGGACAAGACAGAGAGAGAGAGGTTTGAGATTGGTGTTTGTTTGAAACTGAGATGAACTTGAAGAGAAGCTTTGCTTGTTTTTTTTATAAGAGATCCGGCACGTGCGAGGTTATTGTGTGACGTGTGTGAAGGGTTAACACGTGGTTGATAAAGACTCGTTGTAACAGGTCAAAAGGAATTTTACCCATGTTATGGTGAGAAACTGAAGACTTTTCTATTTTGTCTCTTAATGTCCGTATTCTATGGCGGAATTTAATTCACATTATAAAATTAATTCATTTCCAAAAATAGAATCTTATATTTAGATACTAATCTCCTAACAGAAAATGTATTTTTGAAACTCAATTTGTTTGAACTTTTATATATATTTGTTTTTGTTAGAGCTTTAGTTTTTGAATTTATGTGCCTTTCACTAATACTGTAATAGTTATACTGACTAAAAACATTGTTATATTTAACTTCATTATGGTGGTTTAATCGTTGGCACCGGATAAGTTTGTGGTCATGTTGGTTTGGACCCGAGTTCCATTTCCTAGAAATGCGAAATTACTAGTTTTTCATGTGATATGTGGCATGGATCTCTAACTCGAGCAATTGAACTGTTGTCAACAGTGAATAAGCATCCGAGTGGATCAGTTGGTTACATCTTCACTCGCCACATCCATTAATCAAAAGAAAAAACATTGTTTTAGTAATTACATAGTATTTGTTTTGATCCATAACCTTAATTAATCAAGTGTTTGTGATTTATCTTTTTGTACGTATGTTAGAAGTTTAACGTGGTTACTACGTTAGTAGGTTTGGCATTTTGGCTAACGCTATGAAGGAGACATTGGCCTAACTATTTAATTAGTTTTGGTTTATAAATGGTTTGTTACTTGACTTAGTAAATGTACCGAGTAGCATGTGTGCGTTATAAACAAACAAAGAAAAGTGCTGTGTGTGAATTAAAAGATGGTGGATATATATAAAACCGAACAATAGTTAATACATTATGACAGGAGTGTAACATCAATAAAGGTGTTGATTAGGATGCAAATAGGCTTTTCGTACGAAAAAAAGAATTAGTATAAGAATGTATTCCACTTTAACATGATACGAAGGCACATTCGCATGTGGGAAGCTATTCAAATTATCTTTTACTCTTAACATTCCTTTAGGTGTTTAGCTAAATTAATATATACAACATATACTATTTCAACCACGGCCATATAACAAAATTTCAACCTCGAAAATTTAGTGGATTTTAATGTTATCCTCATAAACGAAACATTTTCGAAATGATTGTTAAGTATTTTCGAAATGATTGTTAAGTATTTTCTTCCTTTCACACACATGGTATGTAAATAAAGTTTTATACTAATAATAGGAACAACATCAAAATGCAGTTCTGTTTTAAAAATGGTTTATGTATGTGTGGTGGATGCGCCTGTGGTTTCAGACAAATTTGTGTCCAGTTTGCAGACAACCTGTGGAGAGGCTTTTGAAGATTCACCAAAAAGAGGCAATGGAAGAAATTGAGATGGAGTTGACAAAAAGTAGTTAAGCCTATTAACTTGTAGTTTGTATTATGCAACATTATGATCTTATATATATATTCATCGGATTCTTAAATATATATCACCTCTCTCAAGAGGACATTTTAAGTTCTTAAAAGAGTAGTTAATGATAAACAAACAGAAGAAACCGAACCTTCTCCTTTGAGTTTTGGTCCAAGAGGCCTCGAGCCCACTACTCAACTCCGCCCTGACTTGGCTCTTTCTGTAACTTCCACTGGCCAACTGTCTTCGACAAACCCAACTCCATGTCTCCCTCTAACTCAACACAAATAACACTAAATAGCCATATTCAGGGAAAAAAGAAAGAAACAAGCTTGTTGAAGACTTGAATGTGTTCTTAGAAGACGAAGAGAGAGAAGCAGCTCGTTCCTTTCGGTATGGAGAGATGAGACTAGGAGTACAGAACAATGAAACTAAGATCGTTGTTTAAACCATGTCGAACATTGTCACCATCAAGGATATATATATGTTGTGATTCTGACTTTAGTTTGTTTCTCTCTTTCTCTAACTCTGTTCTGTTTTGGCTTGTGCAAAAGTATTTTAACAAACTACTTTTTCATTCATTTCTTCCTTGCATAATTACAAACGATTACACTTATAGCCTTTATATACTAGGCTAGACTTCTTACTACACTCTAATCATGCTTCCTTGTTCACTTACAAGTTACACCTTATCCATTCTTACACTCCAAAAAGCTAACTATTCTTCTAACATGACTTGGTTTGTTCCTCTCTTTCTGTTTTTCTCTCAGTTTTTGCATGTGCAAAGAGTATTTTAACAAACATTTTTTTCATCCTTGCGTCTATCTTACAAACGATTACACTTCTTAGCCTTTATTAGAGAGAAAAATAGAGTTAGAGAAAGAGAGAAACAAAACCAAGTCAGAATCACAACAAACATGTTTTTCATTCATTCTTCCTTACATCTTACAAACGATTACACTTAGCCTTTGTACCAGTAGACTTCATACTCTAATCAATTATGCTTCCTTGTTCACTTACAAAATTACACTTAGCCTTTATACCAGACTTCTTACTCACTCTAATCATGCTTTCTTGTTCACTTACACCTTAAGTTCCTACTTGATTATTACTTCAGATCCTATCTAGGATAATTTTCAAATATTAACAGTGACAAAAATCTGCTTGCATTAACACATTTTGACATCAGCAAAGTAAAAAACAAATCACAGATGAATCATAACGGGCGGCCCTTTTTCCATTTCTTCTAATATTTAATATCAGGTTCCTCAGGATATATATGTCTTTCTTTTTCTAACCAATCCTAAAAGATCATCTAAATCACACATCATTAGACTATATTGGCCACGATGAGCATCGAATAAAAACCTGATTCCAGTGCCATACAATCAAAGATAAACTATAACGCACATCCTAACCAATCCTAAAAGAGAAATCTTATTATCTTAAATCACATATCATTGGACTATTCTATTGGCGCATCGAATGAAATCCTAATTCCAGTGCCATACAATCAATGATAAAACCTATTATTAGAACACATACCCCTTGTATGAAATTGAGAAGATAGGTCGCCAGCATCTTCTTTAAAACCCATATCCAGATAAGCCTTCAACGCCCACTTCCAGAACACAGCAGCATCACTGATTCCTAACTGGACATACACGAAAAAACAAGAAACAAACAGACAGACATACATCAAACAAACAAACAAACAAACAAGCCAAAAAAAGTTTGAAATTAAAAAAAAACGATGAATGGGGAAACTCTTAATTACCGAACTGATTTTGATTGACTAAATGATCACAAAGTGTAAAGAGAGAAATGAAACATAGTGATCGCTAACGATGACAAAGACTGGACACTAGTTCTATTTGTTTACTTACACATAATTAAATTTAGTGTCTACCAATCCAATAATATATAGAATCTCCCCAAAACAAAAACATTTTTAAAACAGAGAGTTTATAATTACCGGACTGATCATGAGTGGACTAAGTAAATCATAAGTGTGAAAAGCCAAATGAAACTATACGATCTCTCACATATTGGACGCAAGTTCTACTCGTTTTCACATCATGAGTTTACAAAGTATCTACCAATCCAGTAACATAGAATCTTCTTCCTCCTCCCAATTAAAAACATTTTGAGAAAAAAAAAACTTTTTATAAAAACAGAGAAAGAAGAGTTTATTTATACCTTACTGGCTGAGAAATGGAATCTGGATTCAGAGACGGTGGCGAGAATCTCACGGGGCCGATGGTTGAAGTACTGTTTTGTTTCCCTCGGATGAGATTCAGAGGAGAGGAGAGACTGAGAGACAATCAAAGCAAATCATGACTGTGACGTAGCTTGCTTCATTAGTTTTTGCCTTCTCACCTGCAGGAAAAAAAAAAACTGAATTCAGTCTAAAACCATACGATTCATAAGGCTGTAAAAACAAACTATCCTAACACACAAAACAGCTCTAATAGAATGTCTTTTTCTTTGTGATCAAATCAATCGATGAATCTCTAATAATGACAGAGAGAGAGAGAGAGAGGGTGTGAGAGAGAGAGAGAGAGAGAGAGAGAGAGAGAGAGAGAGAGAGAGAGAGAGAGAGAGAGAGAGAGAGAGAGAGAGAGAAGCATTGTTACCTTTTATCAGTGGAGGTTTCATCGTCATCAGCGAATCAGTTGGATCTGAGTGCGGTCTAGCTTCGTTGGCGTCAAATAGCTCCATAGATCTATTTGAGAAGGGGACGAGAAGCAGCCGTTAGAAGTTTTCTTCATTGATCTCAGAGACTGACTGTTTTTTTTTTTTTTTTTTGAGGTGGAGAAGGGGATGAGATCTGTAACGAGAGAGATCATCAGAGAGAGTGACTGTTTTTTTTTTGAGGGGGAGAAGGGGATGAGATCTGTAACGAGAGTGATCGTCTTGGATGTGAATTTATAGACGAAAAGAAAAACACAACAACGGCTACTTTCAGACCAAACATAAAAACATTAAAATAAAACAACAACGGCTAGTTTCTGTCCGAACATCAAATAAAAAATATAAAATAAGACAACGGCTAGTTTCGAAACCAAGAAAAGTGAAAAGTAACATTCTGACACTCTAACGTTCGGATTCTGGATCTAAGACGACGACTCACCCTTCGGCACCGCGCGTGTAATAGAGAAGACGCAGAAACAGTCGTCGCCTGCCGTATAGCCCGATTTGGCCCAAATAACATCCCACCCGATTCAATAAATGGGCTGAGCCTTATTTTTACTCAAGATTATGTGAGAATTTAATGGGCCTCGCAATCCAAAGGTGGTTTCATAAGGATCATCTATTACTGTGAAACCTGAAGAAAAAAGCATATAATTAGCATGGTTGGATCACGAAGGTATGGCTAAAGATGATCAAACAAGTTGGGTTACGTTAAAAAGAACAGATGCAGAGGAATAATTAATTACCTTTGATATAGCTTCACAACATTGAGTGCACATCCATGAACATCTTTACAAGACAACATAAGGTTAAGTTTTCATGTTGATAATAAGCAGAAAAAAAAACTATCTCAGGCACTACAACTACTGAGACCAGCTGTCCGTTAAGTGGTTAGGTTAATGCGATTGTTTTATTTTATTTTAGTAAATTAACATTGAACAGAAATGAAGGAAGATATAAATATGAAACCAAATTTTATTCAACATTATTAATTATCATATATTTTTAAATTTGTACTTTTTATGTAAAAAAGGAGTTTTAATATGTTATACGAGCATCAATGTTTTCTTTGTGAAAATCATTAGGGTAACGACACATCAATATTTGGTTCTTTAAAATATTCTCAAATAATATATATGAGATATGTTAGATTTTAGATAAATTGTATTTCTAACATCGCTAATAATTTCATAAACATTTAAATATATGACTAACGTTACTAATAAAAGATGCATGATGTGTAATTGCGTATGATCCATTGCATGCATTGTGAAAAATTCGAAACACGTCTTCTTTTTTATCCATAAACATTACATGAACATGAACGTGTGAATGTGATGATTAGACGAATATTAATGTTGAAACATCTAAGGAAACAAGCTATGTAGACAAAATCCATATAATCAAGCATATCAGTCGCTGAAACCCCAAGATTGTAGCATGCCATTGGCTGCTGCGGGCCTTGTGCTTTGTAGGTTTATGATTGACCTCGGTCGCTGAAACCCCAAGATTATTAGAAAAAAGCACTAAACATATTGAAACTTTTATTAGTGTTGACAAGTTTAAAGATAACAAAATGTATCAAACGGATTAGAGAAAAAAAAAATCTGAAATGTTAATGATACCAATAGGCTCAAAAATATGGGCTGATTATGAACACATGCCACTCATTGCTTTCAAAAAGGCCACTCATTGCTTTCAAAAAGGCCCATGGATTAAAAACTAAATTCAAACAAAAATAAATAAAAAGCTCAATCGAAAACCCTAATTGGTTTCTTCTTCTTCTTCTCTCCTTGGCTCGCCGTCTTACTGATAGAATCATTTACTCTGGTTCGTTCGTTTACACGCGCGCTTCCGAGTTCTGATATTGGCAGGGAGAAGAAGAAGGAGAGATGGGCTCACGTCAGGGACCACCGAAGCATCAGAACAAATTCGCCTGGGTACCCAACGCCGGCGTGAAGATCAACGAAACCGTAAACGCTTTTCTCTGCTTCCAGACAAATACTTTAAGCTAAACAATTGGTTGGTCATATTGTCGGAAATTTCTGATTGTTTAGGAAGTTGGCGGGAGATTCAGACCGCTCTCGGAGATAACTGGAGTTTGCCATCGCTGTCGGGAGCAGATCGCTTGGAAACGCAAATACGGCAAATACAAAAAGCTAACCGAACCCGCCAAATGGTAAGATCTCGTTCCCTGAATTTGATTGTTTCTCTGTCGGAAGAGAATCAATTTTTATTTTTATTTTGGTATGCAGTCAGAAGTGTTTAAAGCGTAATGTTCGTCAAGCGTATCACAAGTTATGCTCTGGTTAGTGTTCTGTTTCTCTGCCTTTGTTATTTTATTCTCTCTCGCAAAAGAATGATATTAGTTAGTTAGTTAGTTAGTTAGTTATGTCGTTTTTGTAGTTAAGTGATGTATTTTAGTATGAAATTTGATAACAGGTTGTGCCAAGGAGCAGAAAGTGTGTGCCAAGTGTTATTCTTCTACTGAGCAAATCATGGGAAGGTAATTTGATTACTGATTAAACTCTTTCTTTTGTTTCTGCTAGATGATGGTTTCTTTATATTGTGAGATTTTGGTAGCTAAGGTAATTTGTTTGTTTCTTAGGGATATTTATGAGGTAGAGGCTGAACAGAAGCTGCTTGATGAGGTTTGTCTATTTAGTACAACTCTCATTTCCTTCTTATTGGCGCTTAAGAGATGTTATTGAGGGTTTGCGAAATGAAAACTTTGTTTTATCTGTTGCAGACTATCAAGAATGCTAGGGAAAGAGATAGAAGGACGCTTTTACGTGCTGTAAGCTTCACTCTTTATATATATATATATTTCTAAACAAGTAGGATGATATCTTTACTCTCAAGAGCCTAAAGTTGTGTGTGTTTTTGCGTGACACAGATGAACAAAGATAACAACCCAAAAAAATCAGATGAAGAAGCAGCAACAAGGAGCGGTAGCAGCAAGGTTGGTGATGTGTTTCCATCAACATCCCTTGAAGAATATGCTAACAAGTCTGGAAAAGTTAGCGGGATTGTTGGTCATGGTAGTGTGCCTGATCATGTCCATGTTGTTGACGATGAAGAAGATGATGATGTTGCTAGTGATGGTGATGGTGATGATGATGTTGCTAGTGATGGTGATGGTGATGATGATGATAGTAATGATATTGCTAATGAACCTGAGTTAGATGAGGATCACAGTGGTGATGATGATAAAGAGCTGCAGAAGTAAACGTACTACTTTTGGTTGTAGTTCTGTCAGTTTTGATAGGCTTGTGAAATTTTGCAAAACTGATTAGTATGCTTATTGTTTTGAAATACTTCTACTTTGTTTACCTGCAAATGCAATGTGGCTATAATGTATTGAGCTGAACTTCAAACGGGATTTGTTGTTTTTCCTTGTCGGCCTAGTTTATAATAATAACATTTTCTATATTCATTTAAAAATAAGTAAAACTTTCAAGTTTTACTTTAGAAGTTCAAAATGAAAGCTCTTAAATTTTCTGAATAAAGGTTGTTTAAAAATTTGACTGATATTAACGGTCGATGACTGATGATTTGTTTTTTTTTTCTTAGTGTAGTAGTGATAAATTTGTTGTAGAGCTTTGTTAGTTCTTTTTATTCGGTCCCAATCATATTATTTATATATATGTATATACTTTACCCTATTAATAATCTCATTCAGTATGGCAAGTTTTAAACTAAAGTTCAACAGCCATTACTTTTAGGTAACTAACTCGTTTTTTTGCTCGTGTAGTAACATTCGGTTTAAACAATTACTAAAGCAGCCATTACTTTGTGTTCAGAAAAAAAAAAGCAGCCATTACTTCTAGGTAATGCTATGGATATAATGTATCGGGCTGAACTTCAAATGGGCCTTGTTGTTTTTAAGTTATCGGCCTATTTAACACCACTTACACGTGTATGATACTGTCTGGAGATTCTCAAAAGTCCTTGGATTTACTGAACAATGAATAAATGTGAATCAGAATGTTTGAAATTAGAAAAGAATACTGGTTATGTGGCATTAATGCTTGTGCATTAAGTAACATTATTACACTTGGCACGAAAAATAACTATCACACGTCCCAACTAAAACAACTTTCTTTTTTGGCTTTTCATTAATCTCTGCAAAAAGCCGGACTTTTCCATTCTCAATGTACACTTATGAGCCTTTTATGACTCAAAGATTAAGTACAAAGACTTTGAAGCTAATTGGTCATTTCTTGTTTCTAATTAAAAGCTATAATCTTTTTTCAAGATTGTTAATCTATTTGGCTTATCTCCTAAGCATTTTTCTTTTGCTTAAGTCTATAATATTACATCGAGATTCTTCATCTCTTGTGTTGTCACTTGTCAGACTTTAGACTAAAAAGAAGAAGACGAAGAGTTTCTCTCTCTTTCTTTCTCTTAAGAAAAAAAAAATGAGTTTCTTCTTGTGTTCTTCTTCTTCAATCGTGTTCAAGCTTGGAGTTTCTATAATCTTTCTAGTTTCTTTCTCTGGTTACACTCCTGCAGGTAAGCCGTAAAGATTCTATCTTTATTTAAGTTTTCACTATTCAGTATCGAGTTTACTTTCTAGGGTTTTATTTCATCTCTGAGTCTTGTGTGTAACTTCATTATGGGGTTTTATCTGAACTTTTTAGTTAAGTCTGCAAGGAGGTTGTATAAGTTTGGACTTGCTTGAGCTTCTAGATGCATATAGAAAGAGAGCAGTTAATGGTTTACATCAGGGTGTGAGGGAGCTTATAAGTCTCATTTTTAGCTCCAATGCTCTGTTATAGACACTAGAAAGAAAGTCTCTGAATCATGAAGACAAAAACCTTAAATAATTGCGTGCTAATGGTGTTGCTTTTGGGATTGTTTCAGATGCTTATGATCCTTTGGACCCAAGTGGGAACATTACAATCAAATGGGATATCATTACCTGGACCGGAGATGGTTATGTGGTATGCACACACATTAGCATCAACATATCTTGAATCTTCATTGTTTTTTTTTTTGAAACTCTTTTTTTTGTTCCATGGTGCAGGCGACTGTAACCATATATAACTTCCAGCAATATCGACACATTCAAGCACCAGGCTGGACTCTAGGATGGTCATGGGCAAAAAGAGAGGTTATATGGGGAATGAATGGAGGACAAACAACAGAACAAGGAGACTGCTCAAAATTCAAAGGAACCATTCCTCATTGCTGCAAGAAAACACCTTCTGTTGTTGATCTCTTGCCCGGAACTCCTTACAATCAGCAGGTTGCCAACTGTTGCAGAGGGGGTGTCATAAACTCTTGGGCTCAAGATCCAGCAACCGCTGTTTCTTCTTTCCAGCTCACTGTTGGACAAGCTGGAACCACAAATAAGACGGTCAGGGTACCAAAGAATTTCACTCTCAAGGCACCTGGACCTGGCTATACTTGTGGCCCTGGGAAGATTGTTAAACCTACTAAATTCTTTGGTACTGACAAGCGAAGAGTTACACAAGCAATGAGTAAGTTAAATGCTGTTCTTGAAACGAAACAAAGTGTTAAGTGAAACTGACCTTTATGTTTTTCTGTTGTGACAGTGACTTGGAATGTAACTTGCACATACTCGCAGTTCTTAGCTCAGAAGACACCTACTTGCTGTGTCTCTCTTTCATCGTTCTATAACAGCACAATAGTCCCTTGTACTACATGCTCTTGTGGATGCCGAAACACTTCTCAGCCAGGGAATTGTGTAGAGTAAGTTCTTCTCAAAGCTCCCTGACAAACCTGCTAACTTTTTATTTTTGAACTTTGTGTATTCTTCTTGATTCAACTACAGCTCAAAAGGTCCACGGATAGCATCGGTTATTTCAAATACAGGGAAAAACTTGTATCTACCGCCTCTGGTCCAGTGTACAAACCATATGTGTCCAGTGAGAATCCACTGGCATGTGAAGGTTAACTACAAAGCCTACTGGAGAGTTAAAGTGACCATCACAAATTTCAACTACAACATGAACTATTCTCAGTGGAACCTGGTTGTTCAGCATCCAAATTTCGATAATCTCACTCAGACTTTTAGCTTCAACTACAAGCCCTTGACTCCATATGCTCCCATTAGTAAGTACCATCTTGAGCCTGCAAAAATCTTGTTTCCATATGAAGTTAACAATCTTGATTTTTTTTATAATTTGGTTGTATAGATGATACTGGGATACTCTGGGGAGTAAAGTTCTACAATGATCTGTTGATGCAAGCTGGACCATATGGGAATGTACAATCAGAGTTACTTTTCCAGAAAGAAGCATCAGCTTTCACATTTGAGAAAGGTTGGGCTTTTCCAAGAAGAATATATTTCAATGGAGATAACTGTGTGATGCCACCTCCTGATGCTTACCCTTGGCTCCCCAATACCGGCTCACACAAGCCAAGCAGTTCTTGGTTTGCAGCAATAGCAGCATCAGCCTCCTTGTTATTGACTGTATTCTTACACTATTAAGCTAGTGTAGGGAGACTTTGGCTTCTGTAGTGTATGTGATCTGATGAGAACTCATCAGAGAGAGTTTTATTAGCTTAGTGTACGTCTTGTCTGCTATTCTTATTGTAGACAACTATTGGCTTCATAGCATTCTCACCAGATCCAGTTGAAAAACTATTCTCAGTATTGATTCCCAAAACAAGAAAAGTTATTAAGCGTTAAATAGTATATAGCAAAAATATAGCAAAAATCTCCACTTTGTTAAAAAAAGATTCAAAGACTAAAGAAAACTCTGCAACCAAATGCAAAGAGAAGAATAAAAGCTTTTAAGACAACACAATATCTTTAAGGTCGGGGTTTGAGAGCTTTTTCTGGAGATGAAAACGGCTTTCAGTCTTGATGGCTTTTCAGCGAACACTCAACCCTTGAATTGCTGCAGATGTTGATGATGCCTGAGAGCCTTCCTCGGTTGCCTTGTTCGATTCAATTGTACTTATGACGTTTCCAATGTTATCCTAACATAACACGAAAAGAACCAAAAGATTCAGATTCAAGGAGATTTTTTGTATGAAAAAGTGAAGTTTCTGTATTTACCCTCCAAATTGCGAGCTTAGTTCGAAGTGATTGCCATTGCTTTGACCCAAATTCACGCTCGGAACAGCGGCTGAAAGATAGGAATGATACCATCAAATTATGAATTTGCATACATATACATATATCTTAGTAGAAAGTTTCTATCGATGTGACTTGCCTGACAATGACAACTTGGTTCATCTGATCCATCTTACAATCAATCAGCTTCACAGCTATTGCCTTAACGATCCATAGTTCAACCTCCTCTTCCTTTACCTGAAAGCACAGAGAAAAGTAAGCACCTAATAGAGTCTCAATTCTTCATGTTTTTCTGAGTTTTTACCTGTAGGGTATCTTTAATTGAGGTGTATGGTATTTTGCCAGACTCATCTGATGCTAAGTCCACTAGTGACAACAATCTCATCTTCGTTACACAATCTTCATCGACAAGTCCTAATAAACACCAGATATGGAAAATGAAGGATTCCTCAGGATATCATATTTACGAAAAGAAGTTAACAGATTTACGATTTAGTTACCATGGCTTTGCAGACATTCTGCATTTGCAGTTTGGAATTCCTTGTAAGCGTTAAGCCTCTGAGTAAGAAATATCTTCAGTAGCTGATAAACTGGTGCATACTTTGCATCCTTCTCTAATTGTGCTACGGCTGGCAAGTCTAATAAATCACACTGCAATTACAGAAAAATCAACCAGACAATATATAAGAGCTGTGTCAAAACAAGAAACACGAGTCTTACACATCCAAATCACATCAAGCCTTTACGAATTATGATACCTGGAAGATGCTGGAAGCCTTGACAAATTCAATAACTGCACGTACAGCCTCCTCCTTAGCTCCATCCAGGACTTGAGCATCCTCATTAGAAAAAGTCGCTAGGTACTTCGTCAGGAATTTAAGGGATTCTTTCACCAAGCTGGAGTATTGATAGATAAAATCATGAGTTTATATTGTTATAACTAAAATCATAAATGACTGATGAGCAGGGTTAGTACCTTTTGTTCTCTCTCAGAACATTGGCAATGGCAAGGAAGAGTTCCCTCTGATCTTTAGTCTCAATGTTCCACTCTTTCAAGAAGTTATCAATTTTCTTAAAAGAAGGAACTATGTAATCAGTAACCTTCCCTTCAACACCCAGTGTAAGCGCTTTCATGTAGACTTGGAAACGAGCATAGGGGTGGTCCAGAAGGTTATAGAGATTGAAGAGGCTATAAAAAAAAAGACAAATAAACAACAAATCAGAAGTATGTAATTATATAAAAAAAATTAAACAAATAAGCAGGAGAGAATCATACATCTTCAAACGAAGTGAAGCTTTGTCATTGGGCTGTTGAACAACCTTAGAAGAGATAGCTTTCACAATTTCAAGAACATCTTCAGGACTATTAGCATTCTTAACAAGGCTGCAAATGATGGTGTAGGTACACTCAAGATCTGAATCAAAAGAAACAAAAAAAAACATCAACCAACCTACTGATCAGACAAGTAGTTTCATGCATTGTGTTGGTAATAGAAGAGACCAGAAAACCTTTCTCAGACATGTTGGAAGAAACCAATTCAGCTGAAGTAACCATTAAAGAAGCCAACTCCAACCACTTTCCTGCTACTATAGACTCCTCAGCCTCTCTACACAGCCTCTTAATTTCTGGCTCTGCAGCCTAATCAAATTAACACAATTTTAATTGATTAAATTCATCATATGCATCAGAATCAATTGAAGATTACAAAAATTATTAAAATGCACCAATGCAAAGATAAATCAAATCTTTGAGATTTCAAAAGATACCTCGGGACCAGCATCAGCCCAGGCGAGCTGGGATGTAAACTGAACAACGGCGAGAAACGGATCTTCTTCGGAAGTGGGAACAATTGTCGTCATACCTTCTTAGCTCTTAAGCTCTTCTCTCTCGGTGGCGGCGCTGATGAACAAAAAAAAAACAAAAAACTATAAACTTCTATCAGCAGCAAAGCAGAGAGAGAGAAGAAAACAAAGAAACCCTAATCCCACATTTTTATCTTTCTCGGTTTAGTTAAACCGAACCAGAATCAGGTTCACAAAAGTTAAAACCGTTTCGGACAGTTACTTAATCAGTAAGAAAATTTTAAGGGTCAGGATTGAGCTTTAGTTTCACACCCCCTTATAAAAACCATTCTCTTCCCTCAGTTAATCCCTCAGAGTTAGGGTTTTTACAGCCGCCTAATCGTCAAAGCTGTCAACATGGTACGTGTTGATTCTTTCACTCTCTCCTCCGTGTATTTCTCTCTCTTTATCTCTTTGTTGTCGTCTGATTTATTTTTTGACGTAACTGTTATGTTATAGCCGTCGCACAAGACGTTCATGATAAAGAAGAAGCTTGGGAGGAAGATGAGGCAAAACAGGCCAATCCCTAGCTGGATCCGTCTCCGTACCGATAACAAGATCAGGTTCTTCCTTCTTTTTCTATGTTTTTTTTTTGTTTTCCGTTGACGCAGTTTTTTTTGATACTGATCAAGTCTCCATTGTTTATTCTTCTTCTTCTTCACACAGGTACAACGCTAAGCGTAGGCACTGGCGCCGTACCAAGCTTGGATTCTAGATCATCCGAGTTCGCTGCCATCACTCAAATTCGCTTGAGTTTTGCTATTTTATTTTCGGAATTGTGGTTAAAGCTTTCGTTTTTTTTCTTTATTCTGAGATGTTAAAATCTTAATGACTATCGTAATACATGAATATGAGTATCGTTGAACCCTTTTATCTTACATTTTGTTATTGATTTGACTCTGCTTTTAGTTTATGATGGAAACATAAGTAAGATTGTGAAAATGCTCTTGTTTGTTTGATCCCTTTGATGAGTAGGCTTGAAAACAACTTTCGGCATTGTTTGTTTCTTTTGAAATTTATAAAAGCACACAGATAGATTGGTCGCAAGTCAAGGAAGAGTGGAAGACAAGAAACAGATGTGAAAGTGGATTATGCAGTGAGAGAAAATATCCATGATGGACTTTATGGGCCTTCCTACTTTAATTATTATTGGGCTTTTTGCTAATGGACTATGTTTCATTTTATCTAAACTCACTTAGAGCAACTTTTAACGGTACAGATGTATAAAATAAGTTCTCACTAATATAATAATGGTACTTTAATAATTTTTAGTTAGGTCATTAAAATTTATTTTCTTAAGAAAATATAAACCACTTGAGATGAAACACTTGTCACTTGACTTAGAGAACCTATTCCTGAAATGCTAGATAAAAAACTGTTCACATATTAATAATTCAATTTTAATAATTGAATTATTAATATCCATTAAAATTTTAAATAAAAATTTTGAAATCAATTTTAATAATTCTTTCTTCTAGAATGTTTAACAAAACAGAATGTATGAGTAATATGCTAAAAATATGTAAAAGAATAATATATCTTAAAACAAGATATAATTGCATGCAAAATAATTTATGATACATGTATTTCCACAAAAATGATATAAACTAAAAAGGCTCTGTTCATAATGTTTGTGGACATATTTTCCCAACGTGTATTAAAATGTTACCGTTAAATGAAAGCTTAGAGGTCAATGTTACCGTTTATTACAATGTCTACATCACCCAGACAAGCTGTCAAAGTCTAAAACCTTTTTTATTACAAGATGGATGAGCCTTTGAGATCTCACGCGCTCTGTCCCTTTTTTTCCCTCTAAATAAAAATCGCCGGTCACTTTAGGGGTAGAGGCTCTGCAGATGTCGGTTGTAACCTGTAGCAGTTCTCCACCCCCTTCGGACAACGAGCAACAAGACGGAGTAGTTGTTGACTTGTGGTTGTATTTCCTCATCTCTTCGGCGGATTCTGATTGGTCTCTGTAGTGTTGACCACCATGAGAGACCCGGTGCTCTCTCTGTTTAAAGGACGACACAGGGCTAAGGTTTCTTTCGAAAATCTTTCTCTGTCTCTATGTCCACTCGATCTCTGTGTTTCTTTATTACACAACATTAAAAGCATTGATTGATTTTGTTTTTTCTTCAGTTAGGTGATAAAGAACAGCAAGAAGAAGAAATGGAAGCTCTGGAGGACCTTCATTAGCAAGAGAGTTTCATATCTTCCTCTTCAAAATGGTTTTAAGAGCCGTGCTTGGTAGGTAGTTACGGCACTCCTTCCCTGTGCTCAGATCCACCGCCGTCTTTCTCTGCCTTCGATTCTTTGCTGGCTGCGTCTCTATTATAAGAGAGCTCCTCCAGAGACTCTTTCCTGGTACACTGTGAGACTCTTTCCCTGTTCATAATTTTGCTTAAACCATTGGGTTGTCGTAACATATTATAGATGTGGATGATGGTTACAAATTACAATCAGTAGTAGTTATGTTTACTTTTTTTTTGCAAAGTTAGAAGAAACATTTAATCAAACCAACAAACACTTAATGGAAACTTTTGCTGTCAATGTTTGCTATAGGAAAC